TGAAAGTGAAAAGCACAAAGATGTATCACTTACTTACACAGTGCTGTAGCTGCTTAAAGGAAGTGTAAAACTGTGGACGTAAAAGAACTAACCTGCCCTGCACACACATGTGCACATGCATGCACACACGCACACACACACAATGTGCGTGCTCACATGTGCACACACACACGCATACACACACATGCACAAAGGCAGTTTCCCTTGTTCTCTCTGAGTGATGTTATTTCATTTCTTATGAAACAGTGAAAAGTTCAGTGGACAAGGAGTTGGAGTCAAAACCCTCCACCAGAAATTGAGAGTATTCTGCTGCATGGTTGTCCTCTGCTGAGAAGGTGGAGACATTTTCTGGCAGGAGCAGACATGGACATTGCCATCTCGCAGCTTAAAGCTGTCCAGTTGCTTTTAAGGAACAACTAATCATCTTCTTCCCCCTTTCCTCCTCCCAGACAGCACTTAATGCCATCACTAATAATCAGCTAATATGAAATGTGATTGATTCCTGTTTGGAGGAACTCAGATGAGTTTCTCCCACCAAATGAGTAAAATTAGTCTATGTGTGTAAAATTCACTCTGTATGAAATGACTGACAGCCTAAAGGGATACAGCTGCAAAACATAAACATGGCAGTGCTTTTAGTGAGAGTACTTTAAATGACATGACTGTTATTCATGTCCTTTCCAAGAAGGCACTTATAAAACCACAATCAATTACTATAGTGATAGTAATACTATATATAGCAATAGTGTGCAAGTGATAGAGATACTGGAAACCAGCTATTATTGACTAGAGATAGTAAAATTCTCCTTGTTAATGTACATGGCTTTTTCACTAGATCCTTTGTAGCCAGTGTCTCTACATGTGTTTATCATAAATGGCCTAACACTCAGAATGTAAATTTTCCAATATTGCATTTCACGAGACCAAATCTCAGAGTGCCTGTGCCCCTTCCCCAGGACCCCAGGACTGGTACCTGTCCCAGTCACACCGGCCCTGCCTTTCATGCAGCTTCAGCTGAGAAGAAAATCACGGAGGTGCCCTGGCCAGACCAGAAAATGAGTGTGAAGAACATGAAACCACATCAGTTCCCCAAGCTAATCCTAAACTAAGCGATGGGAACCCCTTACACCAGGACTACCCCAGCAGGCTGTGCCTTCCTGAATCACAGCTTGGTTCTTTTGTTATGTTTTGAACTGGACGGTCCGTGACTCTTCTCGGGGGCTGCCAGGTACCACCAAAGACAAGCAGTAAACAAAGAACTAAAATACAAGATCTACAAAATATATGACCACAACCACACCTGCTTTTTTAAAGATTAATGATAAGTAGCATTTAAGCCCTGTCCTATGTATTAATAAGCAGTCAATCACTGACATCTTCTAGTAAATCACTTCCAGTTTTAAAACACCATCTCTTTTCTGGGCCAAAATATTCCATGTAGGTACCTTCTAATTAAAAAGCAAAGAGACGAAAGCTGGACAAGCGAGGACAGTGAGGGACAGGTTGGGGCACAGGCACTGCAGGGGGCTGGACACGAGCCCTGGCTGAGCTGCTGGAGATAGCGGCTGAGATGGCAGCAGCAGGTCTGGGGATCCTCGGGCTGCTCTGGCACCAGACCTGGGAGGCAAACGGTGAGGGCTAAGGGACCGCATGTGCTCTGGGAGGCAGGAGTCGGGATTAGACTGTATAGAAACAAGAATGGCTTGGAAAGGGGGAAAGGGGCGCAGAATTGGGGTCATTCAGCCTGGAGAAGAGAAGGCTCCAGGGAGACCTTATTGCAGCCTTCCAGTACTTACAGGGGGCTTCTAAGAAAGATGGGGACAGAGTTTTTAGCAGGGCCTGTTGCAATGTGTCAAGGGGTAATGGTTTTAAACTAAAAGAGGGGAGATTTAGAGTAGCTATAAGGAAGAAATTTTTCACACTGAGGGTGGTGAAACGCTGGCAGAGGTTGCCCAGAGAGGTGGTAGATGCCCCATCCCTGGAAACATTCCAGGTCAGGTTGGATGGGGCTCTGAGCAACCTGATCTAGTTGAAGATGTCCTTGATTCTATAATTTTATGAAAGAAAACACAATGCCTATGGTCAATGTTATTAATTAATATTATAATGCCAGTGTGTATCCTCATCATCATAGAATCACAGAATCTTTGGGTTGGAAGGGACCATTAAAGGTCATCTAGTCCAACTCCCCTGCAGTGAGCAGGGACATCTTCAACAAGACCAGGTTGCTCAGATGGGGCATCTACCACCTCTGTGGGCAACCTGTTCCAGTGTTTTACCATCCATTTACCAATTTCACTCACTGTGAAAAATTTCTTCCTTATATCTAGCCTAAATCTAAAAAAATTTTGGCCCTGCTGAGCAGTGAGGAGACTTAAACAACCAAACTCCCCTGTGTGGTCACCAATATCCTTTGTCCTAATCGAAACCTAGTGCTTGGGCCTGAGAAAGTGTGATGGGGTTTGTTTAAAGACAAGTTCATTAAAGAAAGGAACAATTCATTTTTCAGAGTATCCTTGTGCTGCAGAGAGGGGGTAGAGCTCAGAAGGGATTTCCCTGGAGCTATGTCAGTGTGAAAGGCCACTTGAGAATCACAGCAATCCAGTTCCAACTGGATTAAAGATGCATATAGGTAGTTCTCAGCAGAGAATATGGCAGGAACCATGCAGGATGAGGAGAAATGCTGGGGCCATGAAACTTCAGAGCTCCCAGAGAAGTGAAGGACAAGCAGAAAAAAAGGCTGCTTACGTCAAGAAGCAGCAGGAGCTCTCTTGTGCGTAGTCCAGATCCGCCAACAGGCGGTTGTGGAGGACGTGCGAATCCCATGGTATCTTCCAGTACCTTTGTGTGGGCTTGTGGACCAGGGGGCACTTGCTAAGTGACGATGCTGAGGAAAGCATATGGATTGCCATTGCTTATGGTCCATGCTCCAGAAGTGCAGAGAGGTAGAGAAAGCCTCTTTGCTTTATCATCTGGTCAAAGCATCAGACATAATCAGGGTGCAAACTAATGAAATCAAGACCTGGCTTGACAGAGAAGACTCCCATGAACAATTTGTGAAGAAGGTTTGAGCTGAAGTTTTGGCTTTAGGCCTAAGTGACCAAATCAGCATTTCCGGTGCAGTGACAACCTGAAGACTGATAGACGAATTTCAGCCTGGCTTGTCCAGTCTGTTCTTAATAAGCAGGCCTGATATTTTCTCCAAGGCTATTCATACTTTAAAGATGTTTCTGAGTGTAGTTCGAAGGGGGGGTTTGTGCTGTCCCATGGGTAGAATTTAAAACTCACATTTTGCTAACCCACAGTCTATGACAATACAGATCTGCTTTCCTAGGGCCTATCTGCAAAGAAAATTTTTTTCCTGAAGTTTCTATTTTTGATTGTTCCTCATTCAGCTCATTCAGAAGACAGCACTCCAATTTCTGAATAAGAGCATATGTACACAGAACGAAGCAGCTGACTAACTTTAAATTTGTAATTCCCCATTCAAATTCTTAATTCCTCATTAGCTTGCATGTGCAAACTCTCTCTCAGAGCCTAACCCAAGTCCCACTGGTGTCAGTGAGAATGGGTTTTACCTGCCAAATTTAGCCATCTAAAAATCAGGCTTGCATTCTAAATGGAGGAGCCACTTGTAGTCAAAATAGAGAAAGATCAGCATTTCCAGGATGTGATTCACACCATCTGCCTTAAAGACTTGTCTTGAGAGGGGACAAGTGTATTTCTGGCAGCTGCTACCTCATTCCCCTGCCCATCGAGGGAGCCTGCACAACTAGCCTGGAAGACTCCTTACTCTTCGATAAGCGAAGCCAGGGGAAGGAATCCTTCTGTTTATTTTAATGGAAAAGGAATCAGGCTTTCCGTTTTCTACCTCCTTTATGCCAAGATAAATTACAAATGAGTAAGCAAGGCCCCAGAGGGTATCCCAAGTTGCATCCCACAGACTGCTAACTCTGGCTTCAGTCAGCATTTGGGATGTATGGAAAAGACATCTGAACTCCTGAAACAAACCTTTCTTTTAAAATTATTGTTTGTACCTTACAGTTACACAGGGAGCCTGACAGGGAGCACTATTTGATAGAAATCTCAAAGCAAAGGCAAAAGCTTTTTGTCTGTATCCTCTAAAGACACACACAGTGGGATATGTGAAATGTCAGGAATAATTAGACAAAACTATATAAGCTCCTAGCAACACTAATGTGCTGTGTAAAACTAAACGTTTGCCATAAAGCTTTAAACATTGTTTGAAAGCTGCATGTTAAAGGTAACCTGAATAATTTTTAAGTACCATTTCCAAGATATTAATACAGACATGAATATGAAAAAGCAGAATAGAAAACTGTGAAATGCTGGCATGCCTTTGCTGAGGTAGGCTGCTCTGTTTCTTTTTTCCAAAGGTGATACATAGAAGTAATTGATCCCTTTCATATAGCAATTAAAATGAAAAGGCAGATGTCCTCAGTCCTTCATCTGCTGGAGCCTATTTAACAAGCAGGAAAAGGACTAGCTCCCAGTATCAATAATTCACAGAGATGATAGAAATGTTTGTTGGAAGGGACCTCTGGAGGTCCCTTAGTCCAACTTCCCGCTTTAAGTAAGATCTCCAAAACCAAAGGTGCAGGAAATCTGGCCCAAAGTGCCCTTTAGAGAAGAAAAAGAAATGAACTATGAATGCAGAGAAAAAGAGGAACAAAAGGAAGGAGAATAGAAGGAAAAACAGACCAAAATTTTTACTTGAGGCGGTAATATTAGAAGCGTAAGACTTTTTGCCAAAAGGTGGGATTTTTCTAGGTTCACTAACAGATGTCTGTTTTATCTTCTAGGAAAACAATGAACAGGAGGAAACCTGGAAGCTTTTTGCTGCTCTGTTGAATATGGGATTATAAAAAAAAAAATTGCACCTGGAGCATCTTTGTTCCTCTTTCAAATGGGTGACTCCTGAACGTATTCGCTACCTGAAGCAGCAACTTCTTCTTCCACTGTGCATCCTGGAGGGGAAAATGAATTTCACAAATTGTACCACTGAAGCCAATGTGGCTGCGAAGCCAAAAACAGTAACTGAAAAGATGCTCATTACCCTGACCTTGGCCACAATCACAACCTTGACTATGCTGCTGAATTCTGCTGTAATTGCAGCAATCTCCACAACCAAGAAGCTTCACCAGCCGGCAAATTATTTAATATGTTCACTAGCTGTGACAGATCTCCTTGTTGCTGTTCTTGTCATGCCCTTGAGCATCACTTACATAATGATAGATAAATGGACTTTGGGATACTTCATCTGTGAGATCTGGCTTAGCGTTGACATGACCTGTTGCACGTGTTCAATCCTTCATCTGTGTGTCATTGCTCTGGACAGGTACTGGGCAATCACAGATGCTATCGAATATGCCAGGAAAAGAACAGCAAAAAGGGCTGGGCTGATGATAGTCACAGTGTGGACTATCTCCATTTTCATATCAATGCCCCCTTTGTTTTGGAGAAATCACCGCAGCGTCAATATTCCCAGTGAGTGTCGCATTCAGCACGATCATGTCATCTACACTATTTATTCCACATTTGGGGCATTTTACATCCCCTTGACTTTGATCCTGATCCTGTACTACAGAATTTACCATGCTGCAAAGAGCCTTTACCAAAAGCGGGGTTCGAGCCGCCACCTCAGCAACAGGAGCACCGACAGCCAAAACTCCTTTGCCAGCTGCAAGCTCACACAGACGTTCTGCGTCTCAGACTTCTCCACATCTGACCCAACCACGGAGTTCGATAAAATCAATACGTCCGTGAGGATTCCTCCTTTTGAGAATGACCTGGACCTGGCTGGTGACCGGCAGCAGATCTCCACAACGCGGGAACGAAAAGCTGCTCGCATTCTGGGGCTGATTCTAGGTGCTTTCATTTTGTCCTGGTTGCCCTTTTTCATCAAGGAGTTGCTTGTGGGCCTCCACGTTTGCACTGTCTCTCCAGAAGTAGCAGACTTCTTGACCTGGCTTGGATATGTCAACTCCCTTATCAACCCTTTGCTGTACACTAGCTTTAATGAAGATTTCAAGCTGGCCTTTAGAAAGCTCATCAGGTGTCGAGAACATACTTAAAAGTACTGGGAGATGATGATGATGATGTGACTCCTGGCCTTAAGAATGAGGAAAATAATTTGACTCTTTCACCACTTCCCTTGATAAAGGGGATTTTTGTGTTTGCGTATTTGCTTGACTTATCTTTAGCCTGTAATTTGTTCTGCCTTTTTTTTACCCCTAGTGTTAATCATGGTAAAAAGTTTGAAATAAATTTATTCTACAAAGGAACAGATTTTTTAGCAATGAAACAACAAAAGAAAAAACTACTAGATACTCATCTTTAAAACATTTTGTGTAATCAATGATTCGAGGCATACAGTGATATTCACTTTTATACTTTTTCATTTAAGAATCAAATGTCTAAATTATCATGCACTGTAGTAACATAAAGACTTATAAACTGAACCCCATAAATACGTATTCAAAAATTAATAAACACTTCGTGGTCATGACAGTTCGAAGTAAATCTTTACTGCAGCATTCTGACAAAACTGTAACAGTCATTTAGAAGGAAAATAACCACCATTTCCAGCTTGGACTTAAGGCGGAATAAACCATTCCTTTCTTCAGGAATACACCCCCAAAACAGAAAGCAAAGTTCAGTTGATTCCATCTAAAAATGGATCCCATTTTGTACTCCAAAGTAATTATTTAAGTGTCTCTTTCTGTGCAAGGTTCTGGATTTATGTCCAAGGTATGGGACAGACACCTGTGCAGTTTGTTTGGCAATTGAGAGGACGCAGCGAGAGAGCGTCACGCTTGTAAGACCAGCTGCACATCTGACTGGTCATGTTTTTAATACCACTAACCATATTACACAGAATCACAGAATCATTAAGGTTGGAAAGAACCTTCGAGATCATCAGGTCCAACCATTAACCCAACACCACCATGCCCCCTAAACTGTGTCCCTAAGTGCCACATCCACATGTTTTTTGAACACTTCCAGAGATGGTGACTCCACCACCTCCCTGGGCAGCCTGTTCCAATGCCTGACCACTCTCTTGGTGAAGAAATTTTTCCTAATATCCAATCTAAACCTCCCCTGGCGCAACTTGAGGCCATTTCCTCTCATCCTATCACTAGTTACTTGGGAGAAGAGACCAACACCCACCTCACCACAACCCCCTTTCGGGTAGTTGTAGAGAGCGATAAGGTCTCCCCTCAGCCTCCTCTTCTCCAGACTGAACAACCCCAGTTCCCTCAGCCACTCCTCATAAGACTTGTGCTCCAGACCCCTCACCAGCTTCGTTGCCCTTCTCTGGACACGCTCCAGCACCTCAACATCCTTCTTGTAGTGAGGGACCCAAAACTGAACACAGTATTCGAGATGCGGCCTCATCAGTGCCGAGTACAGGGGCACGATCACTTCCCTACTCCTGCTGGACACACTATTTCTGATACAGGCCAGGACACTGTTGGCCTTCTTGGCCATATTTCTTCAGGGCTCAGGCCTTGTGCCTTGTCCAGTTCTGGGGTGGCATTATTCACTTGTGCCACCCTTCACCGGGACCTTGCGGTGCACAACCCCATGGATCAGTTGATCTTACCCCACAGACTTAAACAACTGGCTAACTTCTCAGCAGGCCAACCATATACAGAAATTCAGAAACATCACCTAAAACCAAATTATTTTCTGTTTGAACAGAAGAAAAAAAAATAGGGAAAATTTTTTTTTTTAAATAGCAGTCTGCACATCTGCCTTATCGTTATCTCACAATTTGCAATGTCATTCTTGTCAGCTTAACCTATAATCATGTCCTTTAATGGAATTTCTTGTTCTGGGAGTCCTTCACAGAGTTACTTCCCTTGTCTTGAGAGACAGTCAAAGAGTCCTTCATATCCTGTCTTCAGTGCTTATGAAAGTTAAAATGTCCTGGTTCAGCTATTGTAGAAATCAGGCTGGGAAGGGGCAAAATCAAAGCTGAGAATCTGGTATTGTCCATTAGCCACTCCTAAACACTGTTTAAATATTGATTACTTACCTTGCATGATAGTTTTCTTCCCATTTTTCTGGACAAATTCTTTTTGAATTATACTGATATACCATATAGAAAATACCATATACATCAACCTGACATGCAATAACAGTGAACTATAGCATGGCAGCTCCAAATCCATCAAAACAAATATTAGAGGTAGCAAAAGTGTTCGTAACAGCACTGGAAGCCATCTCTGAAAAATGTTTTGAAAATTTACAAGCTGACAATCATTTTTCTTATCAAGAGTCAAGGAACTGTAAGTAACATGTGAGTAATAAACTCCAGATGGAGCTGAGAAATGACATCCTTATTTCTGAGAGAAAGCGTTCAGTTGGAAAGATGCAGTGCCGCAAGTTGAGTGTAAATCAAGTTTGAAGGTGACAAAAGTATGACCTACCGCTTACACACATGCAGTGGCATTCTGCTTTAAGGACTCCAAGTTTTCCATGCCTGAGTTGAGGAGGTTTATCTCCAGCTGCCCTTCTGAAGCTACTGTCACAGTTGCCTCTTCCAATTGCGTTTAGGTTCCCTACTAGCTAACATTAATATCTAAAAAGAGGGGAAAAAATAATCTTAGTCACTGAAAACATTTTCTCCATTATGGTTTTTCCTTTTTGCAGCTTGTTGGAGGTGGAAACTGTTGATTAAAGCTGGGGAAGAGTGACCTGACCCCGCCTATCTATAAAAAATTCCAAAACAGCTCCCCAGAGTACATATACTACTAGGAAAAAAAATAGCTGGGAGTTAAAATAAAAAGTAGCATTTGTAAGAACTGCTGCAGAATAATTTCATTTTTTTCTTTCAGCAAGCTCAATAGAAATGATTAATAAAGTACAAGGATTGTGCATAATTTCCCCAAACAAGTGACTGCCGCAGGGTGCACAGGCAATTGTTGCTAGAAGAGAGTAGGTTTTCGTGTCCCTTGGGCAGTTTGCTGCTCTGCTACAAGGGTGCCCAGCTACAGTAATGATCAGCAAGGGAAAATTAAATGTGCCAGACTGCCCCAGCAGACAGCCTGAGTCACCCTGAGGCACTCGGCTAAGATGAGGCAGAAGCTTTGCCCCAGCCAGCTTCTTTGGGGCTGTCTCTGGGGCTTCAGCCACAGGGTGGGTTGCACAGGGGTCTTCGCTGGGAGGAGGGAAGAGGTGGGAGTGACAATGCTGGGGAAGGGTGTTTCAGAGGGGAAAACCAACAAAATGAGACAGGCTGCCAACTCTGACTGCTGCTCTTAAGGGCACACAGAATAATTTAGGTTGGAAGGGATCTCTGGAGGCAGAGTCCAACCGCCACTAACAACCCTCAAAGTGGGACCAGCGCCACAGCTACATGCTGCTTCTGGCATGCAGTGTGCAGTCACGTTTCTCATGCAAAAGTAATGGCTCAGTTAACTCTGTCGCTCGTTTAAAGCCAGAAGTATGGCTGAAGGACCAGAAATCGTAAACATGACCACCACAGCAGCTGTTGTACATAGGTAGAAATGTTTCAGAGACAGGTATGCTCTGCACTGCATCATCTTCATCTCTACTAACGTCTTTCTTTTAGTATCTTATCTCCACTATTACCACTCGAACTACCAATCAGGTTGAAGACTGTATTCAATTTTAATATTTAGAGGTAATTAACAGGAAGGAACAGATGGATGGCTCATTTTCATGCTTCCCTGTTAACTAAAAACTCACCATTCACTGCCAGCTGACTACTGCTTTTCTAATTAAGTCATTAGCTAAACACAGAGCTATGTTTTCCAACAAATGCCACTAGATTGATGAAGATGTCCTGTACGTTTTCCCCATGCTCAGACTCAAAGTCAGGATCAACTTAAAGGATTGTTTACTTGAAACAATTTAACTTGATCAGAAATTTCCTGTGGTCTCATGGAAATAAAAACTTTTGCTAGTTTGGCACCATTGGCTGGCAACTTCATTTTTTTTTTCTGTGTTAAGCACTTGCTGATTTTACAAAGGATTTGGAGACATTTCCTAAACTTTGACTTCTTGTCCATGGCAACTCCCCATTCATACGTATCCTGGATCAGGCCTAGCCACACCATGCTCTGCAGTGCAAGCTCTTCCCAGCAAACTCTTAATGATGTATCCAAGACCTTCAGTCTACATCCATCTTCCTTAGCCTCTCTAAAACATCTTTCTTCCTCAAAGTCTTGTTTTCCCTAATGCTCCCCTTGTATAGTTGTCTTTCTACCTTTCTTCCTATACTTCTTGGAAGTGTTTTCCTCCCCTCTCCTTCACTTCCTACAGCAGGGGGTTCATACAGACCTGCCTATTCAGCCTCTCTCATCACTTCTACATATTTTCTCAGAGTGCTGTTTCTTCCTGTCTTTACACCCCCAACTCACCATCCTGCTTTTTGGGTTTTGCCTCTCTCTAATCCCTATATTTATTGCGGTCATACTGGAGCGAGCCCCCACTCTCTCCCCCTTCTCAGCACTGTTATCAGGATTCCCATGACTGTGGGTGTTCAAGTCTGTCAGGTTTTACTCTGTCTCACATGTGTCCAGGCCATATCCAGAAGTTTTTTGCTCTATGTAAGCAGCCAGGGCTTTGGAGTGAGTTCATACCTCCCTAGTCCTGAAGACTGCACCCATCACCCAGCTGGCCTCCCCTAAAGACATACCCTTCAAATGCTATTTTACCTGCTATTTTTATCTTGTCACCCTCCTTCTGTACCCTGTCTTTGTTGTTCCCTTTCTACCATATTAAAATGTACCCTCACATTACCATTTTAGGGACCTGTATCTTCACTTTTAGGGACCTGCACGAGTAACTCAGGTAGCACTCAGCTCCTGCTCTTCTGCCTGTGCCAACCTCATCTTTCCTCTCTGCAAGCCTTGTCTTCACCACCTCCATGCAGTGCAACATCTCTCCTGTTCCTTGCAGCTGATGTTTTTTTCCTTCTCAAACCCACTTCTGACATGACTCCTGAAAGAAAAACAGTCAACATGGGCAGTGGAGGAATTACTGTGTGTATGGTCTGTCCTTTTTCTCCATCTTTCGCACATAGATCACATCATCTCCCTGG